AAAAAAAAAAAAAAACAAAAATCGCGTAATTGTTCTATGTTTTTTTTAAATATGTCCCCTTTCCGTTCTACCCTCCACCCAAGCCCCCTCTTCTTCTTCGTCCAATTCGCAAAAGTTCGCGCAAATTGAAAATGCTCTTGGAATGACAGTGCGTTTCGTTGCTCGTTGAAATTTGCCCGGATGCGGAGGAACGAAGGGAGGAGGGGATTGTATTGTTAAAAAAAAACAAAAAACAAAAAGAATGAAAGAAAGAAATTTGTAGAAGGACAATTTTCAATGGAATTCAATGTAGAGAACAAAGAATCGCGACCGTCTGTAGTGAAATGTAGTGGGATTTATTACAGGGTGCGAGGAAAGTCAAGGCTCAGGGTATGGGCGTGCACACACCTGAGGAAGTATCCCAATTTGGTTGCGCTGATCTGAAGGTCCTTTCCGATATGTTGGCTGACAAGCCGTTCTTCTTTGGTGACGAACCGACTACGGTAAGTTATCGAAAAAACTTATTTCACAAGAACTATGCAATTTTTATATATATATATATCAAATCGTTAAGATCGCGTCAAAGTTGTTTCCAATTCGTCATTTGTACAATAATAATAATTATTTAAATATTTAATCATTTATAACATACATATTATGTTATTTTATGTTATACCATGAAAAATTGAAATTGGAGAACATTTATATATATATTCATATGATGGTGTTTTGTATTTTCAAAATATTAACACTGTTTCGCGCGAGCTTATTTATTAAATTTTCGCATGGCACCAACGTGGAGCCACCGGCATTTACCTGATATTTTTCGCATGGCACCAACGTGGAGCCATCGGGATATCATAGTGTTAAATATACATATATAAGAATCAAACTTCCTCAAATATTATTGTGTATGGGATTGTGACACGTGATATGATGAAATATCTTTGACTATTCTCCAATTTCGGTCAAGAAACAAAAAGAAAAGTAACTAAATGATTTACATTAATTTTAATTATGTGATTATATGTATAATATATCTTTTTTTCCGTTCTTTTTGTTTGACAAAACAGTTGGACGTTGTAGCATTCGCTCACCTAGCTCAAATTCTTTACATCGACAAAGAAACGTCATACAACCTGAGGGATTACATGCAAGAAAATTGTCCCAATTTGGTTGGTCATTGCTCGCGCATGAAGGAACGATGCTTCCCCGATTGGGATGAGATTTGTTCAACCTTGGACATTAACACGCACTTGCCCAAGCCGGAGAAGGAAGAGGAGGGTGGTAAGGAGGGTAAGGAGGATGCTAAAGAATCTAAGGAATCGAAGGAGGAGAAGGAGGGTGACAAGGAGAAGGCGGATAAGGAGGAAAAAGAAATGGAAAAGGACAAGGAGGTCGATGAGAACAAAGAAAAGGAAAAGGATGGGAAATAAGCTGTGCTGGTGGTGGTTGTTGTTGGTGGTGGTGGTGGTTGGTTTGCGCGGCAGGAAGTCAAAAAAATAATCGTTTGTTCGTTCAAAAGGATTTCAATACGGCGGAGAGAATAAATAATTATGGGTGTGTTCTTTTTTCGCGAGTTAAGAAGGAGAGTAAGATCCAGAGAGAGAGAGAGAGAGAGAGAGAGTGAATGAGTGTGTGAGAGAGAGATAGAAAGAAAGAAAGGGGGAGGGGGGTGGAAGTGATGAGAGTTTCTTGTATGTTTGGGAGAGTATGAACGTGTCTCTTTTTTTCTTGGATTGTATGAGAGTTTTATGTGTATGGTGTATGCATGGGGAGAGAGAGAGAGAGAGAGAGAGAGGGGGTGTATGTGTATATGTATGTTTGTGTGTGTGCATGCATGGAATGATAGGAATGCATAAGCGTGTCTCGAAGGAACTGACGATGACGACAAAGACGACAATGATAATGGTGATGATAATTATGATTATGATGCTGACAGAGATTACTAAGAAAGAGAGAGAGAGAGAGAGAGAGAGTTTAAAAGGCTAGGAGAATAATAGAATGATAGAAGGAGAAAAAAGTTAGATATATGATAGGCAGGCAGACAGGTAGGGTGTAGGGCGTGGAAGAAGAGTGAGAGAGAAAGAAAGAGAGAGAGAAAGAGAAAAAGAGAGAATAAAGAAAATGTTTAATGATCAACCAGTGCTCTCTACTTATATGCGTATATAAGATTATTATAATTATTATTATAATTATTATTATTATTATTATTATTATTATTATTATTATTAATATTAATAGAATCATGTATAATGTTAATACTTCGTTTATTATTACGCGATTCGATCGCATCAACGCCGTTGTGTACGCCATTTCTCATCGACACACCCTATAAGGACACGCACGAAAGAGTCCCTTTCCCCCTCCCCCCCACCCACCCTCTATGTATGCTCGTGTGTATTAATGATGTATGATAGAGATAGAGAGAAAGAAAAATTAAAAAGACACAGAAAGTATGAGAGAAAGACAGAATGAATATGAATGAACGGGAGAGAAGAATAAATGAAAATTACGAATGAATATGATTGATAATAATGAAATTGAATGATTGAAACTAATGGGGGTTATAATAATAATAATAATAATAATGATAATAATATAACGCGTGTGAATGCGAATGATGTGATAACCAACCAGCAGCAGCAGCAGCGGGCGCCCGCCTATCATCTCGTGAGAGGAGGAGGAGGAGGAGGAGGAGGAGTCAAAGTAGAATTTTTCAAAGTTTTTAGGTGAACTTTTGCAATATATCGAAATGCAATAGCGCCTAACTTAACGCAGGTGTGAGACGACATCTCTTTTTATCAGTGGCCAAAATGCAATCAACGCTAAAAAGGGAGGGAGGGAATTAGGGAGGGGGAATGGGGGGAGCGAGAAAAGAAAAAAAAACACACACACACACAACACCCCATCCACACAACACACATACATACACACACGTGTAATAATACAACGTTTGCGAGTAAGTTATCCCACGAGTTAGAGAAGAAGGGGGTTAGGAGGATGGTTTTTAAGGAAAAGAGAAAAAAAAAAAACATAAATAAATAATAATAATAATAAAAAAAGGAAAAAAAGAAAAAAAGAAAAAATAAAAAATTAAAATAAAATAAAATAAAAAGTAAACAATTATATAATAAGTATGTGTGTGCGTGAGAAGAATAAAGACATTGCTAATGAAAGAAAGTGAGGGAGAGAAAGTGAGATTAGAAAGAGATATGACGATAGACAATGTTAATAACGAGAGGTCCAAGAGTCTCCCCGCGTCCCCCCGTCGTCGTCGGAAGGGACGATTATTCCTGCGTCGAATCCCTTTTGCTGTGCGAAGTTACCTTGCGTTTCGTGCAACGTAACGTAATCTTCTTCTTCATCTAATTCTAATTCTTCTATTTCTAATTCTTTTATTTCTACATTATAATTATTTTCTTTCTACGAAATTTTATTTTATAGACTACACTTTTCTTTTAAATTTCATCTTCTTCTTCTTCTTCTTCTCTCTTTTTCTTTTTTTTTTACTTTTTTTTTTTTTTTTTAATTGATTGTCGTCTCTCTCTCTCTCTTTTTTTTTTTATTTAGCGAAAAATAGGAGGGAGAAAAATTATAAACGAAAAGAAATAAGCGGGGATATTTTCCTTTTTTTTTTCTTTTTTTACGCCAATTCTTACGACAATTCTTTTTTTTTATCTTCCCCCCACTTTTCCAACAACGCCCCCCTTCTATTTTATTTTCTTTTTCTTTGTCTTCTTTTTTTGTCCTTTTTTTCAAATGCCCCCGCCGTTCGATATAAAAATCTACGAATCGATATCATCCCACACACATATTATTATTATTATTATTATTATTATTATTATTATTATTATTATTATTATTATTATTATTATTATTATTATATGTAATATGTGTGTAATCGAATTTTACTGCCGTCTTGAAAGAACGAAAGAACAAAAACAGAAAGTCGGATTGAAAATAGAAAGTAGAGAGAGAGAGAGAGAGAGAGAGAGAGAGAGAGAGAGAAAGTGATAGAGAGAAGGGTGAAGGGGGGAAACACAAAGCTTTTTTTTTTTTCTAAAAGCAAAACCCATAAAACCAGCAGCCAACAAAAGTCGTTCGTTCGTTCGTCGAGATTTAAATCTCAGATATTGACTGAATAATAAAAAAATAATTAATTAATATTGAACTCACGCAATATTAATTGAGGAAGTAATATATATATTATAAAAAATTACAAGAAAATAACAAAATAAAAAAAAAAGGAAACAAAGAACAATTAAATTTAGAAAATAACGTTTAGATTCGAATCGTACGACGACTTTTTTTCGTTTCGCAGAGAAGAAGGACAAGATTTTTTTTTTTAACCCTTTGAGAAGAGTGTTTGAACGAGAGAAAGATAGAGAGAGAGAGAGAGAGAGAAGGGAAAGAGAGAGAGAAAGGAAGAATGATTATAATTCCGTTCATTCGTTCGATTGATCGATCGATCGATCGATCGATTCGATCCACGAGATCGAAACGTTAATAGCAAAAGAAACAAAAAA